CCTCCTCCTCCTCCTCCTCCTCCTCCTCCTCCTCCTCCTCCTCTGGGTTTCTGGGTTTCTGGCAAGAAGTGCAGGTCGAGCTAGCTCACCCTACACCAAAGAATGAGGGAACGAGGAGACTCGTCCCCCCGCTCCTGGCGCCACGGACGCGCCCGCGCCTGCGCGTCCACCGCCACAAGCGTGCCGAACTTCAGTGGCACGATGAAGCGGGACGGGCGACGCTCGCTCCCTCCCCCCCTCTCAGCTGCTCTCTCCCTCTCCACCACTCCAGCATGCTGGAACCTCCCAGCTCTTAGGCTCCCTGCTGCAGGGAGAACGTGGAGTAGGATGGGGCTCATGGGCTCTCCCATCCTAGATCGTCGTTGTTAACTCCACCACCTCCAACGGGCTGGGGCGATCCAGCTATGATAAAATCCCTCCCATCTAACAGCAACTGCTGGCGAATGCAGTCGCTGCGAGACCAAGACTGCCAAGGAGGTGGGGTGGAACTAGGGAGGGAATATGAGGAGAGAGGGGCGAGGGGACGAGACGCCCTGGTGCCTCTTAGGGTCTCTCCCTGCTGCTGGGCCTTCTCGCTTCCTTGTGTCGCTGCCTGCACCTGTCACGCAGACTGTCGCGCAGGCCTTCGGCAACATAAAGGACATACAATGAAGCCTGACACAAGTTACATAACGCTCAAGTCAAACTCACTGCTGTGGGCATTTCACGTCGTCCTTGGGCGGTGCGATGCCAATTCGGCCCGTACCTTTATCGCGCCCCTGGAGACTTGCATCCCACCGATCTCTCTTGCGAATGAAAGGCCTGATCGACTGGGTTGTGTTCACAACAGTGTACTGAAGGGAAATGTCTCGGATATAATCCAAGCGAGAACGCTTGCGAATAAATGGGCGACTACATCTGGTATCAGAACGCACAGAATATTGCTGTTCGATGAATCGCATATACCTGGGTGTCTGCACAGAGTGGTGCTCGGCGCAGACGGCGCCCACTGGCACCGAGGAGAAGACCACTGCGCCGCACGAACATCTGAGGCCCTCTGATGTCGAGAGCGAGCCAGGCGGAAACCAATGTCCTGACCCAGGTATGAACTCTGCCACCCTCGACCTTGCGCCTGGGCCTCCAAGCGCAGCGGGGCGCTGAGGATGTTGGCGGAGCTCAGGTGCATCCGCAACTGCGGCAGGGACAAACTCATCCGCCTCAGCCCGCAGTGATGCCACAGGCCAGGAGGCGGTGCAAGCCGCGGCCGCTTCGGACAGCAGCGGCAGCGGCCGCGCCTCGGCGCTGGCAGCACAGCTCGCCCCGTCGCCGTCCGTGTCCTCGAGGAGCTCTACGGCTTGTACGTGGCCGTCGCTCTGCTGTCCTGCACTGTCAAGCTGCACACGCTGGGAGAGGACTGCCTCCAAGGCCTCCGCCCTTGGAGCGCCTACAGGAAGGTCAGGCAGCACAGTAGTGACTGAGTGCAACAGGTTGCGCACGACGGGGACGAACTCCTCCACCACGACGTTCTGGTTGGATTCTCCAGTCACCTTGTCAGCTGCTGCCAACGGCTCATGTCGAGCCTTGTCGGCCGCGACCTTGATGGCACGCCAGTTGGCCGACGTCGCAGGCTGGATCGAAAGGAGGCCCTCCATGGCCCGAATTGCATCACCAAATCTGTGTGAATGTGAGCCGAGCTGTGTATCCAGTCGCCAGTGTACTAAAAGTGCCTCTCCCAACTGCCTCAACCTCACTGTGAGTTCTTCGCGCAACTCCACAGGCGGGTCAAGGAATCCAATCGCTTCATCGGCACACTGAACAGCAGATGCACTAAGAAGATTTCGGGCACGTTCTCTGCGAAGACGCCGAGACAAAGCGGCGGCTGAGCGTCGAGCCCATGCCTTGCCGCACCCTGGCCCACCTCCAGCGCGCACTGGGGGGCCTCCCGCAGCCATCGTGCACCCGGCAGCCGGCACCATGAGCTAGCACATAGAGCCAAGATGTTGGGGCGCATGATTTGAGCCAAAATGGCTACGGACCCTCCTCCTCCTCCTCCTCCTCCTCCTCCTCCTCCTCCTTCTCCTTCTCTCCGTAGCCATTTTGGCTCAAGGCTATGCTGTTGCGGGCTGAGCCCGCATTGGCTTTCACGGATACCGCTAGTCCGCGGCAGTGCGAGGGCTCTTGAGCCCGATCAGTTTCTTTGCCCGCACCTCAGGGGCGCACGGGCCGCCCGTTTCTCTCACCACGCTCGTGGCATGGGGAGCAATGCCCGCAAGGATGTGCTCCTCGGCCCACGCTCCCCCCCGTGGGGATGCGGGCGCTGCGGCAGGGACGGGAACTGGGCGTCGCGGCTCGTCTGCCGCTGTGGCGCCAAGGCCCCTGAGAGGATCGCGAAGGCCGCCAAGGCTGAGCACGAGAAGATCGTGGCGGGCAGGGGAGGCGGCCAGGAGCAACAGTGGCCCCGCGGTGGCGGCGCCAACGGCTCCAGCAAGGACGGCGAGAAGGGCCTGGCCAAGCAGCTCGCCGACATCAAGAAGCAGCTCGCCCTGCTCCAGCCCACGACGACCACGAAGCAGCCGCAGCCGGCTGCAGCCGCTGACGAGGAGGACCCTGAGGCCAAGGCGCTGGAGGATGCCAGGCTGTCCCTGGAGACGTTTCGCAGGGTGGCCCAGAGCAAGTCCTCGTCGGAAGCAGCTAAGAAGTTCGCTCTGGAGGAGATCGCGAGGCTGCAGGAGAAGATCACGCAGGCACGGTCTCCCGAGCTCCAGCAGCTCTCCATCACCCAGAAGATCACGCGTGCCAAGGCCTCGGCGGCCAGCTGGCGTGAGAAGGCTTCGCAGAAGGAGGAGGAGCTCAAGAAGATTCAGTGTAAGCTGCAGCAGGAAATTGACAAGTTCAAGGCTGCTGCTGACGAAGCTCAGGCCAGAGTTGAGGAGCTACAACGGCAGGCAGCTGAACAGGTTGCCAAGCTTGCAGGTACGGCAGCCGCGGCCCCTTCGGCACCTGCGGCGGCTTGGGCTCCTCCATCGTTCGAGCTCGACCCCGCAGCCGTCTCGGCCCAGGGCAGTGAGTTCCAGGAGTGGTACCGCAAGTTCAAGGATGATACCCAGGGGGCCCAAGGTAAGATCCTCATGGAGATGCTTCGGGCCCAGGCTACTGCTGCTGCTCAGCATGATGACCAGCCTCCTCCTGGTTCTGACGCAGACGACGATGAGCATGTCGACCAGCCTGCTGGAGACGACGACATCGACATGGAGCTGCTCGGCGAGGACGGCTTCGAGTCCAAGTCTGAGGCACTGCGCAAGGCCACAGAGGAGCTCCGCCAGGCCAAGCCCGAGGACCAGGAGGTTCTCAAGCGGAAGGTCACGGCAGCGGCAGCGGCCCTCGGCCTCGGCAAGCGTCAGAAGCGGCTTTGACCGCTCCAAGGTCAAGGGCCGCAAGGTCAAGGCTTGGAGATTCTGGTCTGCGAACGCCAACTCCTGGAGCTCGCTCCAGGCAGCCATCGACTGGCAGAGGGGTTGGGGGGACGCTACCAGACCACACGTTCTTTTGTGCCAGGAACATCGGCTCAAAGACACATCACGTATACGTTCGGCTGCAGGATGGCTTCGGTCTCGGGGCTATCATGGGGCCTTCGGCGCAGCTCGTGCCACAGGGTCGCAGGCCTCTGAGAGCTCGGCGGGAGTCCTCACCGCGGTGTCATCCTACGTGGAGTTCGCGGGGATTGGCCTCCAGAAGTTCGGGGTGGACGCCGCCTGCGGCCCGCGCCTCAAGATTGTCAGGGCAAACATGATTTTCCCCCATGGTATGTATCTCATGTCGGTCTACGGCCACGTGGAAAAGATGGCTTACTCCGTGTTCTGGGACATGCTGTCGCAGCTGGGTGGCAAGTTGCGCAGGTCCAGAATCCCTTGGGTCATCGGCGGTGACTTCAACCAGGACCCTTACGACGAGAGGATCCTGAAGTGGGCCGACATGCTCCAGGCCACGGTCATCGCCACGCCTGGGCCGACGTGCTTCTCAGGCCCGCAGGGCTCGAAGATAGATTTCTTTATTGTCAGCCAGGGGCTAGCCTCGTGCGTGTCGGATGTCAGGGCCCTCTACGGTGCTCCAATGTCGCCGCACGTGGCCATCAGCATGCAGCTCACGGGACCCTCGCTTGACATTCCTGTACATGTTCGCCAGACGTGGAAGGTCTTCCCCACGGAGCGTCCCACTGGCTGCCTCAACCACCCCATCGATCTCACCTGGTCTTGGGAGCCAGGAGAGGCACCGTCGATGGAGCTGGAGGACGCTTGGAAGGAGTGGATCGATAACATGGAGGAGGAGCTCTGCTGGCAGTTTGACATTGTGGGTAGGGCTGCGCAACCCTACAAGGGCAGGTCTGGCGGCTTCGGGAGGAAGGCCGTCCCACTGGCGGAAGTCATGAGGAAGGCCCCCATGTCAGGCAGCGGGGAGGTCATGCGCGCTTGGAGGTCCCTCGCTTCGATCATCAGACGGGCGCAAGGGCTTAGATGTGGTTCGTTGGAGGCAGGCAAGGAGATGGCGGCCAGGGCGGCACCGCCGCCAGACGTCTCGCTGTGTGTCAGGCTGCCCGACTACGCCCAGGGACACACTTTCGGTCAGATGGCGAACTGGTCGACGAGCTCGGCGGGGTCGGCTACTGCGCCTCAGGCTACGACGACCTCCCCCGCCTGGACTCACTCGCTCCGACCTGCGAAGGCCGAGAGGCGGCCAGCCCCCGCGGGCCCTCTCGGAGAGGAGGGGCTCCGCCCAGTGGGCGAGGCGCCGCATCGGCTGGAGGAGGAGCTGGTGGGTTGCACGGCGCCTACCTCTCAGATCGGGTCGTGTGCTTCGTTTGCGCACGCGCCGGGGTCTTCGGCCTCCCTCGCCTGGGCCCTCTTGCTCCGACCTGAGAAGGCTGAGACCCCGAACGCCTCGGCACGGCCCCCCCTCCTCGAGGGAGCGGCCTGCCCAGCAGGCAGTCTCGGAGTTTCGCTGGAGGAGGAGAAGCGGGGTGCCATGGCGGCTACTTCGCGAAGGCCAATGGCGTCGTGTTCGTTGGACGGGCAGCAGGTGCTGCTCGGCTTGCTCGAAGAACTGGACGCCATCGACGGGGCGTCCTTGCGCGGCTTCGACTCCATCGGGCTAGGCTACCACCAGGTTCGGCACACGATCGAGCTGGGCGGGGAAGTCCTGGACACGCTCTGCGTCAAAGTCAGCGACGCGGCCCAGGAGGCCTCGGCGGCGGCTGCCCAAGCTGAACTCCAGGAGTGGCGAGTATGGGCCCAGGCCTCAGTCAAGGCTGGGGGGCGCAAGGCGCACAGGTTCATCAAGCAGTCGCCCCAGGCCTCTGGGCCCAAGGCCCCCGAGGGTTGGGCTTTGCAGGGTGATGGTGCAGTCGATGCCATGGTCGAGGAGTGGTCGCAGTACTGGGACGACGCCAAGCAGTGCATCTCGGACCAGCAGCACGCGCTGGCGAACAACTCCGACCTTCCTCGCCCCACAGTCGAGAGAGTACGACAGGCCTGCCGTTCGTTTGGCCGCACGGTTGGGCTTGGCGTGGATTGCGTCAACCCACGTTCGTTTTTGTTGTTAGATGACCAGTTTATCCTCAGGCTGATTGACGTATTGGTGATGTGGGAGGCGGACCCACGCTTGCCTGAACGATGGCCAACAATCATGGTCTTCCTCTCCAAGCCAGATGGATCTGGAGTCAGGCCGATCGCCCTCATATGCTCCATCCTCAGGGTCTGGGGCAAGGTCAGGCGCGACATGGCCAAGGAGTGGGAGGAGCAACACGCCTCCCCCGTTTTTTGGGGGGCCAAGGATCGTGTGTGTGATCGGGCAGGTTGGATGCATCAGATGCTCGCACACTACGCAGCAGTCAGAGGGCTGGACACGGCCACATTGGCCACGGACCTCGACAAGTTCTACGAGAGAGTGTGCCACTTCGTGCTGTTCAATGAGGGGGAGGGATGTGGTTTCCCAGTCAAGCTTCTCAGGGCAGCTTGCGGCCTTTATGCCGGCCCCAGGACTATCAGCTTCCGAGGGTGTGTCTCGGACGTCATCAGGGCGGTGGGCACAGTGCTGGCTGGTTGTTCACTAGCCACATCGCTGGCGAGGGTCTTGGTCTACAGGCTTCTCACGACGCTGGCGGCAGCTCATCCATCAGTTCACATTCGGAACGTCATAGACGACATCAGCGCGCAGTCCCTGGGCACGGGCTTCCACGTCGTCTCCCAGCTGGGCGAGGTCGGGAGCAAGCTCATCGGGGGCTTGCGCGAGCTGCGCCTCGTGCTGTCTGAGAAAAAATGCAAGTTCCTGGCGTCGTCCAAAAAAGTTGCACATGGATTGCTGAGCAGGTGGAACATGTCCTTTGAACGCCGAGGAGTCATCAGGAGCCTCGGCACGGATTGGCAAGTGAGTTCGTCTAGGCTGGCCCCCATAGCCTCTAAGAGGGTGGGGCTCTGTATCAGGCGCTCTGCGAGGCTCCGTAGTCTTAGGAGGGCTGGCGCCCCTGTAGGCCACATTCAGCGTGCGGGCCCCCAAGCCTCAGCTCTTTGGGGATGTGCTGTTAGGGGGCTCCCGTGGTCTTCCCTCAACAGAGTCCGTCAGCAGGCCCTTTTGGCCCTTGCTCCCATGAAGCGGGGTGCCTCGGTGGGCCTCAAGCTGCGCTCATTTAAGCTCGGTAGGAAGGTCGACCCTGTGCTTTTGTATTTCCGCCAGGTAATCTTTGAATGGGCCAGGGCCCTCTGGGAGGCCACCCCCAAGCTAGAGATTTTGCAGGCCACCTTCGAAGATGCCGTGCGTGTGCTGGCCAACACAAGCAGACCCTGGTCTCGGGCGACTTCGCCCGCTCACGTGTACGTTCTGGCGTGTGGTGACTTGGGCTGGACAGCACACTCGGCACGTTCGGTCACTCTACAGACAGGTGAGCAGATCGATCTGCTACGCCTAGCTCCGCGCGTTGTGGCCGACCTGGCAGGAAAGGCTGCCAGGGAGATGTCGGATTACCGAGCCCTCAGCTCTCGTGCTGGATCCAGCACCTGGTGCCGTCCGATTTTTTGGCAGCCTGCTGAGGGTCTCCTAAGCAGGACGACCGACACCTGGACCCGAGCGCATCAAAACTCGTTTAGAGCGGCGGTCTCGGGCACCCATTGGCCTCAGGAGAGGCTACATCGGCACGGCTTCGCTACGTCGCCGTTATGTTTGCTGTGTCAAGGGGAGCCTGGGACCGTGTTTCACCGTCGGTTTGTCTGTGAAGCTTGGGAAGAGGACCGCAGGCACTTTCTTTCGGACGAATGTCGGCAGGCTGCACGCCTAGTTCGCTCCTGGTGCGGAGATGCGGAGCTCTTTGCCAATGGCCTCTTCCCCTTTCCTCGAGAGCTCGTCCCTCCTCCGCTCCGCTCGAGTGAGTGCCAGATTTTGTGGATTCACAAGCCTGAGGACGGGATGCTCAGAGGCCGCCTCTTTACAGATGGGTCGGCCCTGCACCCGTCCGACGAGTCCCTCCGTAGGGCTGGATGGAGCGTGGTGCAGGTCGACTCGGAGGGATCTCTGGTCGCTGCGGCCTTCGGCCCTGTCCCATGGGACCTCTCGCCCCTACAGTGGGCGCGAGACGGAGAGGACTACGCCTTCTATATGTTGCCGCAGCTCACGGTCCCGCATGAGGTCGAAGGCATTTGGTCCGACTGCGAGGGATCGGTGGCAGCTGCTCGAGCTCGTGTGGCGTCCGTCTCAGCACAGAGCCCTCAGGCCCACATGTGGTCTCGGATCCATGCGGCGTTCGAGGAAGGGCTCCCCGTCTTCAAAACGAAAGCACACCTCTCGGAGGCTGACCTGGCCCTGGGCATGTCTGCTCCGTGGGAACGGAAAGCGAATGCTATAGCAGATGTCCTGGCCAAGCGGGGAGCGGCCCAGCATCCGTCTGTGCAGCAGGCCGCCAGCCAGGTCCGTGGGCTCAGCTTGTTGGGTCGGGAGGTGGGCCAGTGGGCTGGGCGGCAAGAAGTGCTCATGTCTCAAAGGGGCTGGGTGGACTCCCAGGGGCTCCCTGAGGTTCCCGCTGCGCCTAGGGGCAGCAGAAGGCCTGCTCGGCAGCCCGCCTGCCCCCGTGCTTGGGTGCACTTTAGAGCGGTCCTCTCGGATGTCTCCCAGGGCCCCCAGGACCCCGAGCTTGGAGTTTTGGTGCAGCTTACAGGGCACTGCCTTAGAGCCACCAGCGTGTTCAACGAGACTGGAGCCAGCGTCATCGCTGGCCACAGGCTCATCTGTTGTGTTTCTTGTGGGGCCTTTGCTTGGGGCAATGTGAGGGCCCTCTCGCAGGCTTGCCATCCCGCCCAAGCGGGCAAGGGTCTCAGGCAGCAGAAGGCCCGACTGTTGGCTCGCAAGTTTCCCAGGTGGCTGTCCAAGTATTCGGGCTGGTCTCTGGGTGAGTTGGAGATCCCGACCCCGTCCGATCTCCTGTCTCTCGCCTCCACCATCCTTGCTGCGCGCCCGAGGCCCGCAGCGCCGTCAGCCCATCCCGTCTTCCGACCAGGACCGCCGTGGCGCCCCTGCTGGACACCAGGTGTCCTGCTCTCGCGCTTCGGCGTCTCGTTCGAGACCCTCCCGTTCTGGGAGGCCCAGGCGCGCGCCGCCCTCGGCATGGGGCAGGACGCGGGCGGGGCCCCCGAGGATTGCGAGGAGGTGTAATTCGTTTTTCGTTTTCATCTCGGCGGTCGGCGGCTTGGACGTCTTCCGCTCTCGTCTCATCTCACCTCCTTCTCCTTCTCCTTCTCCTTCTCCTTCTCCTTCTCCTCCTCCTCCTCCTCCTCCTCCTCCTCCTCCTCCTCCTCCTCCTCCTCCTCCTCCTCCTCCCCCCATCCTCCCCCTCCTCCTCCTCCTCCTCCTCCTCCTTCTCTTCCCCCTCCTCCTCCGCCTCCTCCTCCTCCTGCTCCTTGTCTTTTCGGAGATCATTTGACTCGGTCTGATTTCGACTGGAGAGCGCACGAGCTCGCGGTTTCCCAGAGTTCCCTTCTCGATACTTTCGTCCTGGCCAGTCTTCATGCTGAGTCGTTGTTTGACGGTCCTGGGACCTGGACAAGGTGACCCCGGGCATGGGCAACTGCGAAAAGTTCCCGGCGCGATCTTGCCGAGTCGGTCTTTGGTCGTTGTCGTGAGCAGGGCCGCTGGAGCGTTGGTCGTCGTCGTGAGCATGCGTTGCTCGCCACAGGCCACTTGGCCGTCGCCATCGCTGCAGGGGCCTCGAGCCAGGGCTGGGCGCGGCCCTCGGGCGGCGGGCAGGCCACGACGAACCTCTTCGGCCGATGCGTTATTTTCTGGTGCCACTTCGGCAGGTAGGGGGCCACAAGCGAACCCTACCCCTACCCCCCACGATTTCTGAGAGCGAGGGTGGGGTTCACTTCGTTGGGGAGCTCCCGAGCGAAGTGAACCCCACCCTCCCCCTGAGAAATCGTCGGGGGTAGGGGTAGGGTTCGCATGTGGCCCCCTAGCAGTCATTCGGTAGCAAAGCATGGGAGCTTTGTGTACCCTCGTGACTCCGTCTTTGGAGTGCATCAGCTTGCGCCAGCGTCTGGGGATCGATGATAACCGCCGGCCCGGAATCGGTCAGCATCGATCGGCGTCGGTTTGGCGTCGATTAGCCTCGCTTAGCGTCCATTCGCAAGAGCCAGCAAGATGGTATGGGAGGCTGTCAACCGTGGCCACCGAGGAGGCACGCCGTGCGGCAAGGTTTTTCTGGGGCCCGTTGCGACGGTGCGACGGGGGGCGCCGTCACGATGGGGAGTCTGGTACACTTATGCCGAGGCGGGTTTCCGAAAGCACCCTTGCCCGAACTCGAGGAAGAAGCACCAGGGTAGACATAAACTTTCGACGGTCCGCGCGGATTCCGGGGTCCAGGTCAGATCCAAGAAATCCGCGTGGTTCGTTGGAACTGACGCTCGAAAAGGAATCCACCCGCCTTCGCCGCCGCCGCCGCCGCTGCTGCCTCCTTACTTCTCTGCTTGCTCTCCTTCTTTTCCCTTCCCAGGCCTTTGACTCCCTTCATTATTCATTTGTCCCTGCTGCCACTGGTGTGTTTCTCTACTTCTGTTCGCGCGAGGTGACCCGCCTCATTTTTTGCACCGGCAAGCTGTATTACGAGCTGGTGGCGGAGCGGGAGAAGCACGGATTGAAGGATCATCATTTCTTTGATTATTTGGTATTGTTACCGACATCATCGTTCAGTCTCATTGTTTGTTTGGGTAATGATTTGAAGGGTCATTACCTTTCCAGGAATTTTGGCGGATATTCCTATTGTGCACATATTTGCTAGTCGTGCTCCTTTCTCATTGTTAAAGATACAGAGAACATTAGACGAAGGCAGAGGAGGATGGGAACTCTGGCGTGAGCAATCGCAATTGCCAGGAACCTAATCGTGCTGAGTGGTCAGGAGTTGCTTGCCAAGGGCTTGCTGGGGTTGGGGTGCGGGCAAGCGTGATCCTTAAATATGGGCCGCCTGAAGATGCCCTCTCGAGACCCTTGGTTGAAGAATATGCGAGTGTCCTTGTTGACATGAAGTGGTCTGAGAGAGAGAGAGAGAGAGAGAGAGAGAGCGAGAGAGAGAGAGAGAGAGAAAAAAAAAGAGAGAGGAAAAGGGAGAGTGCGTGAGAGGACGAGGTGCGGAGCGCCACGATCGAAAGGCTCGCGGGGTTTGCAGGAGCATCGAGCCAGGGGAACTGCATGGTTGATGATCTCGTTGAAGTGCGTGTCGACGAACAGACACAAGGGGGCCACACGTGCACCCTTGCTCGGATGGCCGATCGATGTTAGGTTGGTTCCAAAAGCTCTTCGAGGAAGTGTTGCTTCTCTGGTGGTATTGCTCGGTGGCTGAAGCTTTGCGCGGAGGCCGTGGTCCATGGATAAATGTTTTTCCCGCTGCCCTGTTGACTTCCCTTCTTTACTCTGGTTGGAATGCCAGTGTCGCAACCTTCTCTTGGGGCGATTGCGATATGCCAGCGGAGCCTCTTCAGGCCAAACAATAAACGGCTGTCGAGAACGTTGCCATCATCACCTTGGAGCAGATCGCGCCTTTCCCGAGCGATCGCGTGAAGCTCGTTATGGAGATGTATCCCAACGTTGACAAGGCATTGATTTCTGCATCCAAGAGTGCCTCCCATGTCGACGGGTGCAGTTCGTTCGTGGTCTGCGGTGCGTGTTTTCTGCTCCTAGTCCCCCTCCTAATTTCTCTCGTGCTCCATCCTTCCCCCTCCCCCTTCCATCCGTCCTCTCTTCCCTTGTTTTAGGGGCTGCGCTAAGTACACCTGAAGGGTAAGGAAGATGTGCCTCCAAGGGGGGGCGATCGAAGACGAAGAGGGAGGGCACCGAGGGTTTGGGGTATATGTGTTGACTGAAATGCGAGCAGATCGGAGCGAGCAGTCTGATTGTTGTCGAATTCACATTTCTAAATAATAACATAGTTGACCCCCCCAGTGCTCATTATGCTTTTCAATTGCATTGCTCGTTCTTGGGCTCGGACTTTTTTTGAGGCTCAGATTGTGCCCCTGGCCCCCAGTACAGCAAGAAGGGCTTCCGTCTGATGCTTCTTCAACATGTACTCCAACATCGCGTTCTCGTGCGGGACTTCCACACAATGTATGCAGGAATCGCGCTCGCGTGGTACGTCCTCACAATTTATTTGAACGCCGCGCTTTCGACACTCAGGACTCACGCTCACGCTATGGCTTTTCTAACGATTTACTTGGGAAACGCGCTATCGCTCGAGACTTCCCCGCGATTATGCAGGACTCACGCTTCAGCATCCCGCCTATTCGACCTGGCCGCCTGGGCCCGCCTTCCCGGCCCGCCCGTCAGGGTCTGCCCGCCCGATCTGCCCGTCTGGTTCTGCCACGTGTTTTCTGCTCCTAGACCCGCTGATTTCTCTCGTGCTCAATCCTTTTCCCTCCCCCTTCCATCCGTAATCTCTTCCGCTATTTTGGGGCTGCGCTAAATGCATGTGGCAGACAAGGAAGATATGCCCCAAAGGGGGTACGATCGAAGACGAAAAGGGCGGGTACCCAGGGTTTGGGATGTACGTGTTGACTGGCACGCGCAGGTAAGAGCGAGCAGTCTTACAATGATCGTTGTTGTTTGTTGATTTTGCTGCCTTTTTTGTTTTGTTTTGTTTTGTTGTTGTAGTTGTTGTGTGTTTGGTCTTGGCATTGTTGTTGTTGTTGTTGTTGTTGTTGTTGTTGTTGTTGTTGAACATTATTTATTCTAAAGAATAATTATTGTTGGGCCCCCTGGTGCGCGCCCCCCCTGCGCCGCCTAGGCCGCAGCTACATTTTCATCATTTTCGTGAGGAAGCCTCAGGTAAAACGATGTGATCCAGATCCGGTTGTTTTGTTGTAATCCGCTTTCCCTTGCAAAAAAAACACTATAAAATGACATTTCTTGTTCTAATATAATCAAATTTCAAGAATCCCTTGCAAAAAATAAGGTAAAGTGGACATTCGCGCGCGCAAGACGAAATCCTTCCAAAACCTTAGTGTTCGAGCGATTTTAACATAAAAACATCAAAAAACCAATGGTTTTTCAACAAAAAATGTCAAAATCTCATCCCGCGCGCTCTTGCGGATTCGTAGGAAACCCAACACTTTTTAAACATTTCTGTCAAACGGGCTTTTGCGAGCAACTTTTTCGAACTTCTGCGACAACGGTTGCGCACCTGCCAGGGCCATCATCCCTGTCAAATAATACCATGCGGGACACATTCGTTTTTTCTTCGCGCGCGCACGCCGTCGTCGTCGGCCGCGGGGCCCTGAATAGTAGCCACGGTCGTCCGCATGCCACGAAGTGAAGTGTCCGAACGTCATAGGGCGGGAAGCTGGGTGTGGGTGGTTGTGTGGCTTGTGTGGTACAGAAAGGCTTGGCTTGTGTGGTACAGAAACGTTAAAACGTCGGAAAACGGTACACGTGCCCATTGTTGGAACAGGGGTATAAGTCGTATACTAAGCTAGTTTCCACAATATGTTACCACAAGAAGTCATTGTAACCATGCGCCAGTGTAGTAGCCAAGGTCGTCCGCAGGCCACGAAGTGAAGTGTCCGAACGTCATAGGGCGGGAAGCTGGGTGTGGGTGGTGGCGAAGAGTCGTTTGGAAACTTGGTAGAGCTTGAACCGGCCCCCCCACAAAGTGGGGGTATTGCCCGCCTCCTATGAAAACCCTGGCACTGGTGAGAACGGAGTGTCCCCAGTCTTAAATGATTGTTGTTGTTGTTGTTGTTGTTGTTGTTGTTGTTGTTGTTGGCATCGGCGCCTATGTGTGCCCCGTCCCCGGAGGGGGGGGTGGAAGGGGGGGGCAGCAGGCCAGCAGGGCAGCACCCACACCCACACCGACGCCGACTTTCACGCTCACGCCCGGGGGGGGGCAGCAGGCCAGCACCCACACCCTCACCGACGCCCACGCCCACGCCCACGCCCACGCCCACGCCCACGCCCACGCCCACGCCCACGCCCGCACCCACATCCACGCCCACGCCCATGCCTCCGCGCAAGCCCACGCCCACGCCCACGCCAACGGGCCAATTTCGGAGCGCTCCTCACACGTTTCGTGGCCCCACGAGGGTCTCCACGGGATGCCTCGGGCCAATTTCGGGTTACCCCTCACACGTTTCGTAGTCCCACGACGGGTTTCCACGGGATGCCTCGGGCCAATTTCGGCGTACCCCTCACATTTTTCGCGGCCCACGAGGGGTCTCCACGGGACGCCCCTGGCCCATTTCGGATCATCCTTCACATGCTTCGTGGCCCCACGAGGAGTCTCCACGGGACGCCTCGGGCTCGGTGCGGTGTACCTTTCACGCGTTCCGTGGCCCCACGAGGTGTCCGCTGACGGGGCGCTCCGGCATGACCCGCAAAGGTGGAGGGGGTTGTGGCGGTGGCCCCGCGCATGCCAAAAGTCCCGCAGGCCGCGCAAATCCCACGGGCATCGCAGGTTTCGCGGGTCCCACAGGTCCCACAGGCGTCACACGTCCAACAGGTCTCCTCGATCCCGCGGGCTCCAGCGGTCCCGCTGGCCACAGAGGTCCTCCAGGCCCCCTAGGTCCCACAGGTCCGCTCCCGCCCGAGACTTCCTCCATTCTCAAGTTTGGCCCTCTCCGTCTGAGGCCCCGACCGCCCTGCTCAGGGGGAGCCAGGCGGAGGGGGGGCGGACTTTTGCAAGGAGGGGCGGGGGTGGGGCTCGAGGAGCAGGAGGGAGGAAGGGCTCCTCCTGCTCCTTCCCGCCCCTCCTCCTCCTATCGGGGGAGCGTAAGACCCGGGTTTGCCAGGACTCGGGTTCGCCATCGTTTTTTGACGACCGCGCCTCGGATTTTGACGAGGAGGAGTTTCGTGGGATGTCTGCAGCGGGAGGCCTCGTCAAAATGCAGGCTCGGCCTCGTCATTTTTGTTGACGACCTCGTCGGGGATTTCCGAGTCCCCCGTACCTGGGTCTTACGTCTCCCCGATCCTATTCAGACGCCGCGCAGCCGTGCCTGGGCTGCGGGGTCAGAAGCCTCGCCGACGTGCCTGGGTCGTGGGTTATTAGCTACGAAGCCATTGCCAGCACTGGTAGTGGTAGTGGTATTTGTATTGTAGCATAAGCAGTAGTAGTAGTAGTAGTAGTAGTAGTAGTAGTAGTAGTAGTAGTAGTAGTAGTAGTAGTAGTAGTAGTAGTAGTAGTAGTAGTAGTAGTAGTAGTAGTAGTAGTAGTAGTAGTAGTAGTAGTAGTAGTAGTAGTAGTAGTAGTAGTAGTAGTAGTAGTAGTAGTAGTAGTAGTCGTAGTAGTAGTAGTAGTAGTAGTCGTAGTAGTAGTAGTAGTAGTAGTAGTAGTAGTAGTAGTAGTAGTAGTAGTAGTAGTAGTAGTAGTAGTAGTAGTAGTAGTAGTAGTAGTAGTAGTAGTAGTAGTAGTAGTAGTAGTAGTAGTAGTAGTAGTAGTAGTAGTAGTAGTAGTAGTAGTAGTAGTAGTAGTAGTAGTAGTAGTAGTAGTAGTAGTAGTAGTAGTAGTCGTAGTAGTAGTAGTAGTAGTAGTAGTAGTAGTAGTAGTAGTAGTAGTAGTGCGCCGCGAGTCAGTAACAGAACCCTGTTTTGAACTCGCAATGGTGATGTGGTGGTGCTGTGTTAGTGGTGTGGTGTTGGCAGTGTTGTTAAGTGTTAGTCGTGTTGTACTAGTGTTGTGGTAGTGGCACTGGTGCTGTCGTAGTGGTGTTGTGGTGTTGTGGTAGTGGCGTTGTGGTAGCGGTGTTGTGGTGTTGTGGTAGTGGTATTGCGGTAGCGGTGTTGTGGTGTTGTGGTAATGGTATTGTGGTAGTGGTGCTGTAGTGTGGTAGTACTATGGTAGCGTTGCGTCCACACTGTGGTAGTGTTGTTGTGGTACTAGTGTTTAACGAAGCCCTGGGGGCTCAATTTTGAAAGAGGACCCGCGCTCCTGTGGACCCCCGTGAGGTCTCTGAAGGACTCCTCCTTGTTGCCTTGTTGGGCCCCACCTTGGGCTCCCAGCCGTCAAGGCGCCCGGCGGATGGGATCCCACCTTGGGCCCCCAGCCTTGTTCACAATTAACATCCTCACACGAGGATCGCGGATCGTGCTTGGGTTGTGGTAGTGGAGGAGGATATAACCGTGCCTGGTCGTATTGATTCGTATTGGTTCCATTGACTGTAATTGATTCGTCTTGGTTATATACAAGCTATATCCATCCCTAACAGGATCTCATTCGAGCTCCATACATCCCCAACATGATCCCATTCGCGCTCCATCCATCCCTAACATGATCCCATTCGAACTCCATCCATCCTTAACAGGATCCTATTTGAGCTCCATCCATCTCTAACAGGATCCCATTAGAGCTCCATCCACCCCCAACAAGATCCCATTAGAGCTCCATCCATCCCCAACAGGATCCCATTAGCGCTCCATCCATCCCTAACAGGATCCCATTCGAGCTCCATCCATCCCTAACAGGATCCCATTCGAGCTCCATCCATCCCTAACAGGTTGCTATCTGAGCTCCATCCTTCCCAAACAGGATTCCATTAGAGGGGCATCCATTCCTAACCGGATCCTATCAGGGCTCCATCCATCCCCAACAGGATCCCATTAGAGCTCCATCAACACCTAACAGGATGCTATTAGCGCTCCGTCCACTCCTAACAGGATCCCGTAGAGCTCCATCCATCCCTAACAGGATGCTATTGGGTCTCCATCCATCTCTAACAGGTTTCCATTAGAGGAGGCAACCAGAGGCGTTGCTTCGCTATCGCGCGATGATTTGGCGAAGGCAAGGCCGAGTTTATATGGGTCCCAATGGATTTTGTGGTTAGTTGTTTGTATGAGTACTGGATGCTGGCTGCTGGCTGTTGGCCCCCCCCCCTCGTGGGTGGGGAGGAGCACAGGAGTCCGGTCATGCGAAGAGAGTGACCGGACTCTTGTACCCCTTGGGAGAGGGGCACACGTAGGCGTTGATGCCTTGTTGTTGTTGTTGTTGTTGTTGCTGTTGTTGATTATTCATTTCCAAACAATAATTTTGTTGATTTCCGGAAGCGGTTCCGCGCGCTCTCGTCTCGACGCCGGCTACATCTTCTTTGAAAACGAGGCTCCCGCTCGAGCGTTGGCTTGAGCCTAAATGTGGGCCCCTGGGGGCCCAGCTGCGACAACAACGGCTCCCGCTCGATACCGCCTCACAGTTTGCCCCGAGACACCTTGGCCAATGAGGTCCCCGAGCTCAGGAACGGCGCTCTCGCTCGAGACGTCCTCGCAATTCAATTAGCTGGCGGAGGCCAGGCCACGACGACTAGGGCTCCTGCTCAATACTTCCTCACGATTTACTCCGAGAGCCCCTGGCCAGAGAGGCCCCCGAACTCAGGAACGGCGCTCTCGCTCGAAAGTTTCCCGTAATTCAGGCAAGTTGGTGGAGACCGAGACACGGCGACAAGGGTCTCGTTCGATATTTCTCCGTAGGTATTCCGAGAGCCCCTGGCCAGAGAGGCCCCCGAACTCAGGAACGGCGCTCTCGCTCGATATTTCTTCGCACTTCAGTCAGTGGCCGACAAGGAAGAGTCCCCCCCAAAAGGGGTGCAATCGAAGACTAGGTGGGCGGGTGTCGAGGGTTGGGGAATAAGGAATGCAAGACACGCGTGCCAGCAAGAGCGAGCAGTCTTAAGATGTTTGTTGTTGTTGTTGTTGTTGTTGTTGTTGTTGTTGTTGTTGTTGTTGTAGCTGTTCTTGTTGCTGTTGTTGCTGCTGTTGTTGTTGTCGACGAATCCATCAGGTGGCGCCCGCCCCCCTGGCGCAACGCAGCGCAGTGCACCGCACCTTACCCCGCGCCCTGAGGCCGCATGGAAATCCCATGTGGTCTTCGGGGACCTGATCGGATCCTATGGGATTCGTTTAGGAGTCCTGTAGGGTCCAATGGGACCCGTACAGGAGTCGTATAGGATCCCGTGGGATTCGTATAGGAGTTGTATCGGACCCTATGGGATTCGTTCAGGAGTCCTGTAGGATCCCATGGGACTCGTATAGGAATCTTATGGGATCTCATGGGATTCGTATAGGAGTCCTGTAGGGTCCTATGGGATTAGTGTCGGAATATTGTGGGTTTGTATGGGGTTCATATAGGAGTCCTATATGACCTTATGAGATGCGTATAGGAGTCTCAGTCCCATTGGATCCTATGGGATTCGTACAGGAACTTTGTGGGATCCGATGGGCTTTGTATAGGAGTCGTATCGGGTCCTGTTGGATTTGTACAGGAGTCCTGTAGCATCTTATGGGTTTCTGATAGGATTTGTTTATGGGATCTTATGGGATGTGTATAGGACCCCTATATGATCCAATGGGAGTCGTATAGGTTCTTATGAGATTCTATGGGGTTCGTATAGGAGTCCTACAGGATCCCATGGGCTTCGGTGTGGGACTCTTGGGGATTCGCACAGAAGTATTACGGGATCCTATGGGTATCGTATCGGAGTCTTATGGAAGCCTATGGGATTCGTAGAGGCGTCTTGTAGGATCCTATGGTATTCGTATGGGAGTCCTATAGGATCCGATGGGATCCGTATAGAAAGAAGTCCTGTAGGATCCTATGGGATTCGTCAAGGGGCCGTATGAGATCCTATGGGATTCGTATGGGGCCCGAGGAGCAGTAAGGGGAGGTTGATGAAGAGGAGGGGGAGGAGGTGGCATTTAAGTATTACTACCACTTGTACTACTACTACTACTACTACTACTACTACTACTACTACTACTACTACTACTGCTACTGCCACTACCACTATTACTAGTACGAATACCACCCGTATTCCTCCTACTACGATATACTATTACTACTACTACTACTACTACTACTACTACTAATACTACTACTACTACTACTACTACTACTACTACTACTACTACTACTACTACTACTACTACGAGTTCTGCTACTGGTTCTACTACTACTACCACCACTACTACTACTACTACTGCTACTACTACTACTACTACCACTTCTACTACTACTAGCACAACTATTGTTACTACCACGACTACTACTGCGATTATTACTCCTACTACTACCTCTGCCACTACGACGACTATCTCGACGATTGTTATTGCTTTTACTACTACTACGACTACTACGACTACGTCGCCGACTACTTTGTTTTAATGACTACGATTGCTAATCCTACCCCTAACACTACTGCTGCTACTGCTAATCGTGCTAGTACTACTACTCGTACTACTCCTACTAATCCTACTGCTGCTACTACCCCATACTACTAGTACTAGTACTAGTACTACTACTACTACTATTACTACGTCTCATACTTTTTATTGTAATTGTTATTATTACTAGTATTACGACGACGACGATGATTAATTGTTACTACTAGTGCTACTAGTACCGACACTGCTCGTACTACTACTACTTCTACTACTACTACTACTACTACTACTACTACTACTACTACTACTACTATTACTATTACTATTACTGCTCATACTACTACTATGCCTAGTAGGCTACTACTACGACTGCTACGACTACGAGTACGACTACCACTACCACGACTTTACGGTTTTTACTTCTACTACGACTACTACTACGATCACTACTATTTCCCTGCTCGTACTACTCGTGCTACTATCAATACTACTTCTTCTATTACGACTATACCAACTACTACTATTACTACTCGTACTATTTCTATTGCTTCTATTACCACTGCTCTTGATGCTGCAACAACAACAACAACTACTACTACTACTACGACACATACTCGTATTACTGTTATCACTATGTCACAGCTAGCAATTACCAGTAATCTTTTCATTCCTACTACTACTACTACTACTACTACTACTACTACTACTACTACTACTACTACTAGTGGTGCTACTCCTACTAGCGGCGCTACTACTTGTATTACTTTTTTTCACTACCTCTGCCACCACTACTACGACTGAGACTACGATTGCTACGACGACTGCTATTACTACTACGACAAGCTCTACTACCCTATATGATTCCCTTGGGATTCTATCGGATTCCGTAGAGATTCTGTAGGGTCCCCTGGAGGTTCTATAGGATTCTTTAGGGATGCTACCGCATCCCTAGGGGTTGCTTTCGCATCCCCTAAGGATTCTACAGGATCCCCGAGGGTTTCTAGAGCATCCCCTAAGGATTCTATAGAATCCCCTGGAGCTCCCTATGGGGCCACGGGTGACGGGTGTGCCGATATTGGGGGTGGTCACGCATATGATTCCTGCCACTGGGGCCTTCCGTCGGGTCTATCGGTCAGTTGGTGTACTGTAGCCGATTTCTTGGATTTAGCCTCGGTGGTTCAAGCTACTGCTGTGCAGGCTCCTCCTTCCAGTACTTCACAAACACATACGTGCGCAAACGATCTTCCCCGAGTTTCGTTCTGAGGGATGGCAGCCCAGCGGATGCAATGGGCCGTGTGGTCAGTGGTGCTGGTTGCCCACGGCGTACCCACCGCGAATTCTATGAATGTGCAGACGACCACGTCAGGGCGCGCGTTACTGAGTGGAAGGCGTGTGCCAGGAATGGACGACCCTCCCGACAATTTCAACACGACGAACACGACAAAACAGGAAAGGGTCTCATGTGGTAGCGGGTGGTGGGATTCTTGTGGCGGTAACTCATATTATTGGGCTTGCGGCAGCGGTTGTGCGCGAGGTAAATACTACACAAACATATGGTGCGGCTGCTGCTGCAGGCAAAACGTCCCCGCGACGCCGAACCCGACGCCGTACCCGACGCCGTACCCGACGCCGTACCCGACGCCGCCGACGCCGAACCCGACGCCGCCGACGCCGAACCCGACGCCGAACCCGACGCCGCCGACGCCGAACCCGACGCCGAACCCGACGCCGAACCCGACGCCGAACCCGACGCCGAACCCGACGCCGAACCCGACGCCGAACCCGACGCCGAACCCGACGCCGTACCCGACGCCGTACCCGACGCCGAACCCGACGCCGAACCCGACGCCGAACCCGACGCCGAACCCGACGCCCTACCCGACGCCCTACCCGACGCCCTACCCGACGCCCTACCCGACGCCTTACCCGACGCCGTTCCCGACGCCCTACCCGACGTCCTTCCCGACGCCGTTTCCGACGCCCTATCCGACGCCGTTCCCGACGGCCTTCCCGACGCCGTTTCCAACGCCCTACCCGACGGCGTTCCCGACGCCGTTTCCGACGCCCTACCCGACGCCGTTCCCGACGCCCTTCCCGACGTCGTTCCCGACGCTGTTTCCGACGCCCTTCCCGACGGCCTTCCCGACGCCGTTTCCGACAGCTTTCCCGACGCCCTTCCCAACGGGCTTCCCGACGCCGTTCCCGACGCCCAGCCCGACCCCCAGCCCGACGTATCCTCCGGGCTGGCCGACGCCACATCCGACGTTTCCTCCTGGAGCTCCCATGGCGGGTGGAGCCGGCGCGGGCGTGGCTGCCACTGGCGACCCCCACCTTCAGAACGTTCTTGGCCAGCGGTTCGACTTGATGAAGCCAGGAAAGCATGTTCTGATTAACATCCCCCGTGGAAGGCGTTCCAATGCAATGCTTCGCGTGGAGGCTGAGGCGCGTCAATCTGGAGGGCAGTGCGCAGACATGTATTTCCACGAGCTGAATATCACAGGTGCGTGGGTGGAGGCGAAGGGAACCGACGGTCTCCGTTTCCAAGCTGAGGGTGCGCGCGACGAGCATCCGCAGTGGTTAAAGTTTGGGGGCGTAGAACTCAAAGTCGCCCATGGGCGCACTGAGCAAGGCGCCTTGTACTTGAACTTCTACGTCAATCACCTTGGGCGCGGTGGGTTTGCCGTCGGAGGGTTGCTAGGAGAGGATGACCACACCGAGGCATCGATGCCTTCGAAGGCATGTGTTCACCGCGCTGCCCTTTACGAGACTGCGGCTCCGAGTCATAAAGGTGCAAGCGTCTTCTCGACTGCAGAGGCAACCTTCTAATGATGACAGGCGTGCGGGGTGAGGGCAAAATGCGGCCCGTGTGCGCAAACTGTGCCTTCTTTTGTGTACCATGAGAAAAAAAGGAATGACATCAGGATTGCTCATCCATGCCGCTACGTTTCCATGTGTCTCGAAGCCCTGGGGGCCTCCGCTCCAGACGCGGTCCTCACTGGGACTCGTCCCCACGGAGGGGCAGAGCGTTGCGCGATAACTTCCCCCGCGTAGACGCTCAGCAAACTTTCGGCCTTGCGGGTGATGCTTGCGCATTCTCCTGCTGCTGCCGCTTCTGGGCTGCCTGCGCCGCCGCCGGTATGGAAAAGGCATGCCCCCCACACCTCGTGGGGCATCTCCGGTGCGTTAGGGGTGGCAGAAATGGCTTCTGGTTTCTGGTCCCCCTTTGTTAGGGTCTTGGTGGTCATTTCTGCGGGCCCTACCGCAGGTGGAGTGCTCCAAGAGGTGAGTGTGTGTGTGTGTGGTTTTCCATCTGCGGTCCGTTTGATTCTTCCCGTCGGATTCCTGCCAGCGGGGCCTTCGGTGGAGCTCCCTATGGGGCCACGGGTGACGGGTGTGCCGATATTGGGGGTGGTCACGCATATGATTCCTGCCACTGGGGCCTTCCGTCGGGTCTATCGGTCAGTTGGTGTACTGTAGCCGATTTCTTGGATTTAGCCTCGGTGGTTCAAGCTACTGCTGTGCAGGCTCCTCCTTCCAGTACTTCACAAACACATACGTGCGCAAACGATCTTCCCCGAGTTTCGTTCTGAGGGATGGCAGCCCAGAGGATGCAATGGGCCGTGTGGTCAGTGGTGCTGGTTGCCCACGGCGTACCCACCGCGAATTCTATGAATGTGCAGACGACCACGTCAGGGCGCGCGTTACTGAGTGGAAGGCGTGTGCCAGGAATGGGCGACCCTCCCGACAATTTCAACACGACGAACACGACAAAACAGGAAAGGGTCTCATGTGGTAGCGGGTGGTGGGATTCTTGTGGCGGTAACTCATATTATTGGGCTTGCGGCAGCGGTTGTGCGCGAGGTAAATACTACACAAACATATGGTGCGGCTGCTGCTGCAGGCAAAACGTCCCCGCGACGCCGAACCCGACGCCGTACCCGACGCCGTACCCGACGCCGTACCCGACGCCGTACCCGACGCCGAACCCGACGCCGAACCCGACGCCGAACCCGACGCCGTACCCGACGCCGAACCCGACGCCGAACCCGACGCCGAACCCGACGCCCTACCCGACGCCGTTCCCGACGCCGAGTCCGACGCCGAACCCGACGCCGAACCCGACGCCGAACCCGACGCCGAACCCGACGCCCTACCCGACGCCGTTCCCGACGCCCTACCCGACGCCCTACCCGACGCCTTACCCGACGGCGTTCCCGACGCCCTACCCGACGCCCTACCCGACGCCGTTTCCGACGCCCTTCCCGACGTCGTTCCCGACGCCCTATCCGACGCCGTTCCCGACGGCCTTCCCGACGCCGTTTCCAACGCCCTACCCGACGGCGTTCCCGACGCCGTTTCCGACGGCGTTCCCGACGCCGTTTCCGACCCTTCCCGACGTCGTTCCCGACGCCGTTTCCGACGCCCTTCCCGACGCCCTTCCCGACGCCGTTTCCGACAGCTTTCCCGACGCCCTTCCCAACGGGCTTCCCGACGCCGTTCCCGACGCCCAGCCCGACCCCCAGCCCGACGTATCCTCCGGGCTGGCCGACGCCACATCCGACGTTTCTTCCTGGAGCTCCCATGGCGGGTGGAGCGACCCCCAGCCCGACGTATCCTCCGGGCTGGCCGACGCCACATCCGACGTTTCCTCCTGGAGCTCCCATGGCGGGTGGAGCCGGCGCAGGCGTGGCTGCCACTGGCGACCCCCACCTTCAGAACGTTCTTGGCCAGCGGTTCGACTTGATGAAGCCAGGAAAGCACGTTCTGATTAACATCCCCCGTGGAAGGCGTTCCAATGCAATGCTTCGCGTGGAGGCTGAGGCGCGTCAATCTGGAGGGCAGTGCGCAGACATGTATTTCCACGAGCTGAATATCACAGGTGCGTGGGT